TGTAGGTAAAACGTAAATAAAATATACCTATATTTCATCTAGTTTCACACATATTTTCTATTTTTTTTTCTAAATCCCTTCCCAAATTCTCAAATCAAACACAACGTTAAGGATAACATGAGTGTATTCTACTCATTCAAAAAATTCATAGTTAAAAACACAAAATACTCTTCACATACCATCATCCCTATAGGGTTTAGGATTTTAACATATAGATATTGTATTTTTTCATCATCTTCACCATTAATATAGACTCATGATATCATTCATTATTAATTAGCTCACTTTATTTTCTTCTCCACTATACTTATTTTTCAAACTCAAAACATTATTGCCTTTGAAGATTTAGAGTTTAAGAATATTTAAATCAATTAGTTTTGAAGATTTGCGCACCATAGATGACATTGAGATGGTTGATTCCGATATAAACATTAAAAACGTTGATTTGAACATTGAAAATGTTAGTTTATGACTTAACTTTTTGATTTTTTATTTATCTCATTCGTATGTTGGAAATATGAGTTTGTTCGTCATGTTTGGATAACCAGAATTGAACTTTTACACAATGTTCGATTATTTATATTTAAACAACACAATTTTGTTCAAATTGTTAAGATTGACCAAATATTAAATGTTCATACATAAAAAATTAAATATTTTAAGTTTGTTCAGTTAAAATAAATTAAACTTTTGTTTGTTGTTCAAATATAAATTTTTGAATACATTAAGTTTGTTCAACTCTGTATTCTTGAACCTGACTAATTTGATAAACTTGTTAAATTTTTTACAAAATTCTTTACCTACTCAATGTAGCAATGTTGAAACTGATTGTTGGAATGGAAGGTGTGAATCGAGGATGAGAATGACAATCTAAAACGATGACGAGAGACGAAAGTTCAACACTGACAATGAAAATTAACACCGGCGAAAATGGAGGCCAAGTGAACCTTTGCCGGCAATGGAGATCAAGACCGACGAAAATAGTCTTTATTCTGAAGATTATAGGATTTTTGTTGTGTGTAGTGGTGAAGATAAAGACATTTGGGTGTGTGTAATGGTATGTATTCAACTAGTTAGTGGTGTCTTAATATATGATTATTAATGAAAAAGTTAGTAATAGAAAGCTAAGATGTAAAATAAAATATTTTTAAACCCTAAAAATTATTTTGTATGTTTACTAAGTAATTGTGTGTATTAAGAGTATTAGTAGTATATAACTAGAATCACCCAAGATAAAATTTTATTATTCGATTAACTTAATTATGTTCTTTTGAGACTTGACATTGTAGAATAGCATAAAAAGAGTGATGATATATAAATAAAAAATTTAGATATAAAGATTTATACATAATTTGAAATAAAGACCCAACTAGTCTGGACTCTTGCAAATACATTTCTTGGTTTGGATGAATGTGCATTCGAAAAATATAAATGGGCAAATTACACTAACGATCTTTATAATTTGAAATTTGTGTTATTTTAGTCTTTAACTTTTTAATAGTGACATATTTGACTTTAAATTTTGAATCTTATTTTAAATAAGGATAATTGAAGATACTATTGCTTAATTTTAAGGGCAAAATCGTCAATTTGATAAAATATAAACTTATTTGACAAAAATAAATGTCAAAAAAATATTTTTAAATTTTTAAAAATTATTTCTGTCTACTAAAGATAAAATTATGTAAAATTAATAAATTTTTTAGACATTTATTTATTTTACCAAAACAATTTTTATTTTGTATTTAGATGATGATCATGTAATGTGTGGTTGTTTTTATTTTCATTAAATTAGTTTCTATTTTTTCAAAAGTCAAATATGGCAACAACTTTGATATTATTATTAAACCAATCCATTAAATCACAAAAATCTAAAACTAAAAATATTTCATATATTAAATATATTGATTACATATTAAAATTGTAATAACCACCCATTACTTGATCATCATCCAAACACATACTAATAAATATTAGGATAAATTACACTTACACCCCCGAGATTTGGGTTTAATAAATATCACCCCCTGACGTTTGGGAAATTGCACTAATCCCTTGTCATTGTAATTATTTAGACAGAATTAACGTCAGTATCAAAAAAATATTGAATTCATACACTCTCTTTTTTCTTACTTTACTTTACTTCTCCTATATATATATATATATATATATATTTTTCCTTTCCTTTCCTTTTTTTTTCAATATAATTTCTTCTGTTTTTCTAGCGAGAATTGTTGCATTTTATATAAGTAAAGGGATTTGTGAAATGTGACTGTTAATCACAGCGTTGAGAATGCAATTTCTATAACGTCAGGGGGTGGAATGTAATCGGACCAAACCTCAGGGGGTGTCAGTGTAATTTACCCTAAAAATTAATTTGGTAAAAAAAATAAAATAAATGTCTAAAAAATTTATCAATTTTATATAACTTATCTTTGGTGGATAGAAATAATTTTTAAAAAAATTTAAAAAAATTGACATTTATTTTTGTCAAATTAGTTTATATTTTATCAAATTGGCGATTTTGCCTTTGAAATTAAGTAATGGTATCTTTAATTATCTTTATTTGTAACAAGATTCAAAATTCATGATAAAATATGTCACAATTGAAAAGTTAGGAATCAAAGTGACATCCCAAACTATAGGAACTGTTGATGTAATTCGCCCTATATAAATTTTTTAAATTAATTGTTTAAAACAAATAACTTAAGGATGAATTTCACTAATAGTCCATGTAGTTTGGGACTTATATTACTTTAGTTTCTAATTTTTTTAATCGTGATACATTTAATCTTGAATTTTGAATTTTGTTTCAAATAAAGACAATTAAAAATGTTTCCTTTTCAAATGGTTTATTTCAAGGATACAGTCGTTCTACAACTTATTTTGTATTGGTTAATTTGTATGTTATTTGAAATGTAATGCCTTTTTTTTAATAAATAATGTTGGAACTTTCTTGGCTATAAAGTTCTATTTGGTTTGGTTTTCAAAATTTACTTTCATATATTTTTTCTAAGAAACTAAAAATTAAATGATAAAATAAAAATTAAAAACACATCATTTTTATATAATTTTTTATTTTCGGAGGGTAGAAATAAATTTTTTTGATATTTATTTTCATTAAATTAGTTTATAGTTTTTCAAAGTCAAACATATTAACAACTTTGATGTCATTATTAAACCAATCCATTAAATCAAAAAATTCAAAACTAAAAAAATATATATATTAAACACATTGATTACACATTAAAAACCTAATAACCATCCAAAAATATTTGTTAATAACAAATAGAACCATCTATTACATATAAAAATATTAACAAAAACAACCACTCATTATATGATAATCATCCAAACACATAAAAAATTAATTTGACAAAAAAATAAAAATTTAAAAGATTTATCATTTTATATAATTTTATCTTTGATGAGTAGAAATAATTTTTTAAAATTTAAAAATAATTTTTTGATATTTATTTTTATCAAACTAGTTTATATTTTATAAAATTGACAATTTTGTCCTTAAAATAGAACAAAAATATCTTCAATTGTCCTTATTTGAAACGAGATTCAAAATTCAGAGTCAAATATATTACAATTAAAATATCGGGATAAAGATGACACAAATCCCAAATTACAAGAACCATTAATGTACTTTGCTCATAACTTAATCATTATATTTATTTATTTATTTATCTGTGAATTTAAAAATCATGTCAAGGATTCTCATCTAACTGTAACAATCTTTTACCTCAATATATCTTCTTTTCAGTAATTCTTCTCTCTGCTTGTAATAATTAACTTTTTAATAGTGTTAATTCACATCCATCCAAACGACCCTTGTCAGCAAACTCAGATACAACAATGCAGTATCAAATTGGTACATGACTCTTCTAAAAGACTTTTGTAGGAGAACAATGTAGGTCCAAGTATGCTTCGACTAATAAGAACATGGAAATTGGCTTTGCCGTTAAACTTTGATAGCAACAAACAATGCTTCCAGGTTCAACCCAATAAGCAATACCATGTGGAAACACATAATATTTTGTACTTCATTAATTAAGTATAACTTTTTAACGCTTAAAATTAGTTGATAAAAAGCTAAGAAGGCCCTCCACAAGCTTTTAGCATAAAATAAAAATACTCCAGAACACATGGCCAATTTGGAGATGGAGGATGTTAGGGAATCTAACCTAACCATCCCAAAGTCCATTTCATTATAGAGGTGAAAACTGAAAGCAAGTTGAAAGAAAGGGAGAAGGTTCAATCTTGATATGATAGCCCTTCCCCTACAATATAGCAAGGATCAAGCAAGATGAGTGGATTGCTAATTTGAGACAAGTATCTAATTGTTGTCTTTGAGAAAGAGTGGACAAAAAATTTTCACAGAATGGGAGATAAAAAGTGGAGTCTCACACTTGTCTTAAACCAGCCTCCCATAATGGGCATGTTTGGGAAGCCAAAAATTGACTTTTTTTTGTGCTACAGTCTCGTTTGGAACAAACTATTTTAGTAACTTTTTAGTTAAAATAGCCAATAAGATAAAATATCACATTAAATCCATCATCATTTCACTTTTTCTCTCATAAACATCACATCTAACTACAAAAAAATCCAACACTCTTCCCAAACATAAATGTTTTAGCCTATTAAAATAGTCAACTATTAAAATAACCTACTAAAATAGACAACTTTCCAAACAAGGCACTTATGTGTTCATAGCGTAGCTCAAAGGTCAAGAGAGCAACAATAGCCTAACCAACAATCAACCAAGGAGCAACACTACTCTAACCATTGTATTTTGTTTGGCATACCCCCATCAACATTGCATCAAAGTAAGCAAAAACAAGCAGCAACATTGCATCACTAATAAAAAATAAAAAAGAGCAAAGTAACAGCCCTATCATAACTGAAATATAAAATGAATGCAAAGCAACAGACATAAAATTACTAAGAACTTTCCACAGTAAAGATCAAGGTAGAAGAATTCAATGCCAACTCTTGAATCATTAAAACAAAAAAAGAGGTTAATATGCTTCCCCAGTTAGCTAAAATTAATGTATTGACAAAAAGGGTGGTTACAGTTATTATATGCCCCACCTTCAGAGGCCCTGGCTACTCACCATCTTTTGGGACCATCTATGTGCCCTCATTTCTTGTATGTACAGTTTTCTGAATTTTACATACTATCTGCAATTCCTCTAAAAGAACTTTCATTTTTCTTTCTTTCCTTTTCTTCCTCTCTTCCTTTGATAAATGTTGCAGAAATTTAGATTAAAAAACTGTTTTGAGGAAATTGCAAAAAAGAGGGTAAAGGAACACTACGTCTCGCCAATGGCGCAAGGAATGCATGGGGGATTCTTAGATTGGTCTTCGGGAGTGATAAGTTGCAAGCAACGGTCATGAAAGGTGTGGCCACATGGAAGAACAGCAACAGGTGGTGATACGGCCGGCTGGTATACAGGGCCTTCTGGTGTGAATGAAAGATCTCTCTTACATAGCATACATTTCTGTCCGGTTGGTTGAGGAAGTCCCTCAGAATCTGCACACCACAAAATTCACAGGGTCACTGCTTGTATTGTTACAACTTGCAAGGATGTTTAATATTACAAGCACATACAGATATCAATTCGAGTAAAACAACTGTTCCTCTGAGCTAAAGATCCATAGTTGCACAATAATTTAGTGCCAAGCAATATTGGACCTGTTTGGTGTACCTTTTCTCAAACTGAAAATTGATAGTCAGATAGTAGAAGTTAAAGCACCCCTTTCTTCAACTACCATATAATCTTTCTTCTTCTTTTTTTTTTTTTTTTTTTTTTTTTTTTTTTTTTTTTTTTTTTTTTTTTCCAGCTTACTAAAGCTATTTTTGTCTTATAAGTTGTAAGCATAAACTGCACCAAACATATTTAGATTCCAAAATAAATAAAAACAGAAGAAACTATAAGCAGGCCTTATAAGCTGCTACAAAAACTTAAGTGGCTGCAGCCAAGCAAAATATTGGAAGTACATTATTCAGACAAGTCTCTTTTTGATCAGCATTATTCAGACAAGTCTCTGAGAAGGATGAAGGGAAAGGGACAATCTTCAAAAGCTTCAGTAAGGCCAAACCACAGCCAAGAATCAAGGCTAGTCAATTTAAACCATTTAGCTGTAATCCTGACACGCTTGAGGCCTATAGAAGTTATACAACAGGCCAGCATGGAAGGAATTGATGAAGCAAATATTGTTTCTCAACATAAGAGCATCCTCAACAAGCTCTTTAAAATCATTTTTTGGCTAAAAGTTTCAAAAAATCAACTTCATCAAACTCGCTTGCAGCTCATCAAAATTTATGATGGCTACAGTAACTCGTTACAACAAGTGAGGCACTGTTCATCGCTACTTGTGTGTTACCGGATGTCCGCCGGAAAGTCCGGCCGGTCAACCAGTCAACGGCAAATTTTTTTTTTTTTAAGAATTGTTTGACTGGTAACTTATCAATTTAATAAAAAAAGAAAGACTAACAAACACAATAAAAAAATAATATCTAATAAGAATAAGTTAGAATAAAGAGTTTGATGCAGTAGGTGCTAAAAGGTGACTAGCTAAAATAATGATATAGCTTTAATTTGACTAAAAATTTGAAGAGTTTGGTGTGGATTCTCAAACTAAGGTGTAATCGACCCAAGTCAAGAAAGTTCCAGGCTGCCCAATCTTGGCTCATTTATCTAGGAATATTATTACTCAAGCTCAACTCAAACTTGAATTGAGTTTTTGAATATGAGATCAAGCTCGGCTCGAGATTGCTCACTTTGCTCAAGATGGACTCTCTATACTCAAAATAATAAAATGAGCTTAAGAAGCTCAATGTATTGGAGCTTAGGCTTTTGCTAAGGTCACAAGCACCTTAAAGACAAACCTTTGATTGTCTACAACTTACTATAGTAGTGCACATTGCTAATACATTTTTTTTATCCATTGCAATTTTCTTCTTGGATGATGTGCCCCGGTGTATTTTGTTTGCAAATGATAATGTTCTAAGAAATGAATTATACTAAATTAGAAATGTGGAGAGAAGCATTTGAGCCAAAAGAGTTTAAAATTAGTAAAAACAAAGCGATATATATTGAACATAACCTTAGTAACAGTAGAAGTAGAAATATTGGAGAAGTGAAGATCGGAACCAGGAGATAACAAATAGTTTACATTTTTATTATCTACATTCGATTATTGATAAGGTTGGCCAAGTTGGAGATTATGTGATCCATCAAATCGAAGTGGCTTGGTGTAAGTAGTGTGTTTGGCGTATTATGTAATTGATGAATACCGGCAAAATTGAAAGAAATTTTTTATATAACAGCTATAAGGCCAAAGGTGTTTTACAGGACAAAATGTTGGGCAGGGCAATGGAGAAGTGAAGATTGAAACAAGGAGATAACAAATAGTTTACATTTTCATTATCTAGATTTGATTATTGATAAGGATGGTCAGGTTGGAGATCATGTGATCCATCAAATCAAAGTGGCATGGTGTAAGTAGAGTGTGTTTGGCATATTATGTAATTGATGAATAACAGCAAAATTGAAAGAAATTTTTCATACAATAGCTATAAGTCCAAAGGTGTTTTACAGGGCAAAATGTTGGGCAATTAAGAAATGTGTTCCTAAAGTAAGTTGGACAACATGTAAGTGTAGCTAAGATTAGAAAACTTACATGGATGTATGATAAAACTATGAAATATAGAATTAGAAATGAATAAATTTGTGAAATGGTAGGATTTGCACCAATTGAAGATATATTGAGAGAGAATAGGCTATGATCGCACAGCCTTGACCAGTTAGAGGCCAATTATGTGACAACTCCGTTCTGCATTATGCTTTTAATTCTTTAATTGTGCATGTGTTTATGTGCTAAGTGTGAATTTGAATGATAATTATGTTGTTAATGTGGTTTTAACTTTACATCCGTTGATCGTAGGAAAATCTGTTATGATTTCTGTTATGATCTGAAAATTGAAGGCCTTAATGGCATCAAAAACCGAAATTGGTTAATTTATTGTGATCAACATAATTTTAAGAGCCTATTAGAAAGTTTAATAAAAATTTGATTCAGTCTAAATTAATTAGATTAAACTAATTAGAACTAAGTGTAATTAGTTAATATTAAGCCTATATTAACACCCTAATCTAATCCTCAAGTATAAATATGTTATAATTAGAAGCTTGAAGCCTTAATCATAAATTGAACTCAAAAATTCTGAGATAGAGAGATTTAGAGAGAGAGAACTCAATTTGTAGAGAGAGAGGAGCTTGAATTTGAAGAATTTGCTAAGAGAATTGAAGAATTGTGAAGTACAACTCAAGAATTTGCTAATTTGAGCTCAATTAAAGACCCTAGGTAAGCTTTTGAACCCTAATTCATGGAGTTAAGTTCTTTCACATATGAAATAAAGAGAACTATGTGATTGAGTGCAAGAATTAAGCCAAGATTGTTGAATTTAGAGGCAATTCATACATGCATGCATAGTTTGGTTAAGTTTTACATTTTTTAACATAATTATCTCACTCATGTTGAATTTGAAAGATGAAATGTACATGCATGCATGAATTACAAGGTTTTGACAGTGAATTGCATATTTTTGAAGCTTTAGAATAGAGTTTGAAATTTAAAATCAACATGCATGAAGAATTAGGTTTCTTTTTGAAGAATTCTTAAAGTATTAAGCTTTGATTTTGCAATTTGGTCTTGAATTCACGTTTTTGGAAGAGTTTTAAGTCTTTGAGAAGTGATTTACAAGCCATGCAAGAGTTTGTATTTGAATTCCAAGCTTTGAAGCTCAACTCTGTTCTAGAAATTCCAGAATTCTGTCGCACCACTCGAGCGAACAATTTGTCACTCAAGGGCACATTGCATGCATCTAATATTTTTGCAAGCATTTACAGTTGGCTCGAGCGACCAAGTGATTGCTCGAGCGACTACTTTTTACTCGACACCTCGGCTCGAGTGAACATCAAGCCTAAATTCGGACCATCCAGTACTTTTGCAGACCAAGTGGTCCGCTCGAGTGACCAAAGTTGCGCTCGAGCGAAGTACTCTGTTTCAGCAAATTTTGAAAAGACATATACTAATCAAATGTGCATTCTCATTCCTTTTTGAACATTCTTAGGCATGAATTGAACATCCCAAATAAATTAAAGGGGTATAATGAAGCCTAAGAGAATTAAATGAGTTAAAGAACAATCTGATTAAACAATGTGATTCAACGTGTATATGTCGATGAATTGTGTAGGATCATTTGCAAGAACGAATCAACAACTAAATCACTGTGAATAATATCTTAGTAAAGATATTTTCTTAATTACTCTATTTTCTGTCTATCTTACTGTGGTAAACTTTCTAAAACTATGAATTTGCAAAAGTGAATGAGTTTCTATCTGTCTGATCATTGTGATATCTGTAAACGTGATCGATGTGACACAAATGTGTATGACGGACCCAAGATCGTTTTTTATATCTGAATTGGACCCAAGGTCGTTTCGTACATTTGATAAGATGGACCCAAAGTCGTTCTGAACATCTGATAAGTCTAACTATCTGTTATGAGTAGATCAAATGGTCATTATACAGCTGTAAATGATTGGACCCGAGGTCGTTCTGTTATGATATGATCAATTCCATTCTGTACACCTGATAGACCCAAGGTCGTTCTGTTATCTGTTGAACCCAAGGTCGTTCTGTTACGTATTGCTTGTGACATATATATAAATGCTTATGTCAATTACTAGAACTCATTCACATAAACCCTTTACTCTGATGTTATTCATTGGGCGTTAGCTTACTTTGTATTTATATGTATGTAGGTGAGCAGCGGAATGTCCAGCTCCAGCCTTCGTGAACTCGTAAAGGAACCCAAGTTTTGTGAAGTCTGTCATGAGCGCCTCACGAGTAAGGCTATAGTTTCTTTGATATTTTGGTTTTCTGTTTCTTTCTTTTGTTGGTCATAATCTACCGTTCCAGTGTATAAGCTCTAGTTTGTATGACAATGATGCTTGAAAGATCTTGGATATATAGAATCTTAATAAAGTTTGCATGAGTGTGAGTTATTAATATATGAGAAGTTTCTGTTTAAGCCATTTATGCATAGCTCATTGGATAAAATTTTTGTTAATCTGCTTGTGCTTCTAGCCCCTTATTATTAATTATGTCTGTATTCCGAGACCGTAAGTAATCTCATGATTACTAGCCGGTTATGATCCAAACCTTTACGGGCGAGTTCAGATCATGACAAATTATAACATTTGGAAGCCTAGACTGAAGCCTGTGGGCCCGAAATCATTTTGATCCCAGTGATGTAATTGGTAGCTTATTATTATTGTATTGTTAATCACTAAGAGATTAGTTTATTAGGTTTCCTATTTTGGTTAGGTTACTAGGATTTGCATTATAATATGCATTTTGGAATAATAATATTGAGATTTTGAGATGCTGTGGTCATTTTTGAATTATTCTCTCTCTTCTACATCAGGCTAAGACGGTTTAGTTATGTACAATAAAAACCTACAGAAGCAATGGTAAGGAAGGGCGATATGATCACCATAAATGAAAATGTTTGAGGGAGAAGACCTATATTATATTGACATGGGATGCACTAGTAAAGAAATATATGAATTTATTAGTTTTAACTAAGCATACAACACTTGATAAAGCAGAATGGCGAAAAGAATTCATGTAACAGATTCTACTTGATTGAGACACAAGGCCAAATAAGGTGTAATCGACCCAAGTCAAGCGAAGTTCCAGGATGCTCAATCTTGGCTCGTTTCACTTGGAATATTGCAAGTTTGGCTTGAGCCCAAATTGAGTTTTTGAATGTGAGATCGAGCTTGGCTCAAGACTGCTCACTTGACTTTGTTCAAGATCAACTCTCTTGACTCGAAATAATAGAACGATCTTGAGAAGTCCAACATATTGGAGCTTAGGCTTTTGTTAAGTTCACAAGCACCTTAAAGATGAGCCTATGATTGTCTACCTACAACTAATTACAGCTTATAAGTGCATATTGCTAATAATTTTTTAATTCCTTTTTTTTTAATTGGTAAAGGCATGTTAAGGTTCTCTCTTGGGCATAATTGTCTTTTTCTCAACCAAAAAAAAAAAAAAAAAGAGACCATGTTTGGTTGACTAGAAACCTCCCTTGCAAAAGGGTTTCTTTATATGCACCTTGGCTCGTATTTTGCACTTGCTTGCAAGCCTAGCAAGTTGAGCACATAATACTTAGGCTTGGATCAATTTTTTGATGAGCCTTATTTTGTGTTTGAATTTGGCTCATTTATCCATCGAGCTTGATTTAATCGAGCCATAATTCTAGCCAAACACAAGCAGAACAAAAGTTGCTTGACTCGTATTACACCCCTAAACATAAGTAAACAAAGTCTAGATACGACCTCAACTAGATAAGAGATTTAATATAATGGGCCATCATCAAGTGACTTTAGTGCAATGAAGAGCATGCACTTTGACATTATGAAGAGAACTGTTGGACCAAAAAAATTATGGAATCATTGATGACATTGTCATAAATTTCAGGATAACCATGTTATTGTTAGATAGCTTGACATACATTGTTGGGCACATTTCCTAACAGTTTAAGCTTTTGAGAAAATTGGTGACTTAACAGTTATGACATGAAAGATTAATGCTATGTTCAAGGTTGTTAGAATCGCATGATTACGATTCGATACAAAGTTTTAACAAAAATGACTCGAATCGTGGTGTTAAATCGGAAATTGAGTGAATCGTACGATTCAATTTACGATTCACACGATTCAATTCTATTTCTATTCTTGTTTACATAATGCATAAAACATCATTTTCGCCATATAAAAATATACGTGATTTTATATGTATACACATACATATAATTTGATCATATTGATAATTTACTTTATTTTAAACACTATGTATTTTTATATGTATATAAATAAGGTTATTTACACTAAGACCTCCTAAACTATTGAGAAATATCATTTTGCCCTCTAAACTACAAAAGAGTACAAATGTTCCTAAATTATAAAAACGTACAAATTGGACCGTTAACGGAAGATGTCAAAGTAAAACACGCCAATAGTTTAGGGGATCCATTTGTACTTTTTATAGTTTTTTTTTGGGGGGGGGGGGGGGGGGGGAGGGGGGGCAAAGTGACACTTCTCAACGGTTTAAGAGGTCTCTGTGTAAATAATCCTATATAAATATATAGAATTATACATTATATTAAATAAAATGAATCTTACGATTCACTATTTTAGCTAAATAATTCAAGATTCAATTCGTGATTTGACAACAATGTATATTGTAAAAAATAAATAATGAGGGTAGGAATTCAAAAATAAAGAAAATATTTATGATCAAAATATATCTAGAGAAGCCACAAGAAATACCTTGCCATTTTATATAAGGAACACAGGAATAGGGATAGCAGGAGGAGGAGGAGGAATAGGGATAGCACCAGCAGGAGCAGTCCGTGATGGGGATGGCACAGATGGATGAATGGGAGGTTGAAGTGATATCTTCCTGCGTTGAATCCGGGGAGCAGTTGGAGGGGGTAGAATTCCCCCCCTTTTAAGAGATGGTCTACGAAGAACATCGGAAGCCTGAGAGAGGCCATAACCTTTTGCAGTCGAAATTACTTGACCTGTGAGTTGTACAAATTGCTACCATAAACAAAAGAAAATACTCACTGAAACTTATATAAAGTGTAGGCTAATATAGTAATTAAGTAACACCTGTAGTAGAAGTCGGTCGAACAATATCATTGGAATAATGAGCAGGCAGACCTTGAGAGACGCCTATTGCATGAAGGCAATCATCAAAATATAGTACATAGGCAAGGACATTAAATAAATTATAATCATGAGAAAAGAATAATAGAACTTAGAAGTATCAACTCAAAAGCTGAAGAATAAATACCAGTAGTAAAGTGGGGACCACGAAGATCTGTAGAAAACAGTTCGGGCCGCCCTAGTTTACATCAAAGTGAGCATCAGAAATATTATGAGTGCAAGATAACTACCATAATTGTAAGAAAATGCACACTGAAAACTCTGTATTTACCATGCTGACACAAAAAATATATTATGAGTGAAGGAACTGAATAGTATATACAATAGCAAAAGCAGGTTCAAGAAAATTTTTAGAAATTGAACTTGTATGCTCTTGAGTTGATCAAGTTTACCCAAGAACAATCACCAAGCCTTATTACAGATGCATCCACAGCAATGAAAAGATGACTTCCATGATAACCTAAGCCAGCAAATTTGAATGGTATATAGAAAAAGTAGGTTCGAGAATTTTTTTAGAAATTCAACTGGTATGCTCTTGAGGTTGATCAAGTTTTACTACAGTAGAATCAGCAAAACCTTAGTACAGATGCATCCATAACAATGAACAAGATGACTTGCATGATAAACTAAGCCATTTAAAGTTTCCATCTCAGTATACTACATGTGCCTGGGCCAACCATCTTGCAGTGAAAAAACTCATCCTACATATAAGCATGTTTGAGGCTTTTAACAAGATTGGACAATTTAAATTTTGAAAATGTTTGACTCATTCAATAAAGTCACAAAATCTTTATCCTCAACTGAGAACTGAATCCCAGTGAAAAAAGATAAGAGATCTTTCTAGTAACACATATCCAAAGGTGTGAAGGGAATGCCCTTACTTGCTGTCTGAAACCCTATCTCCTTGGGATACAATCCATGTTCAGCAGCATAAACAACACGACTGTCATCAACTCGAGTGCCCGTAATGTTGGGAAACAGGCCATCTCCAACAGCTTGAGTAGCAGAATGCTCATGAACTTGAACTCCTAGCCTCTGGGGAAAAAGGCCACTTCCAGCAGCTTGAGCAGCACTATCCTTAGCAAATTGAACACCTACCCTCTTGGGAAACAGACCACCCCCGGCAGCATAGCGGGAACTACCAGCATTAGCAGAATATCGCTGCCCTGTAAAGAGAATCATTTAGTGAAGAAGTTATTTATCAGAGAATGCATAAACCTCTTATCATTTAAATTCTGAATTTGTGTGTGTGTTGTTGTGAACAGTCATTGCAACACACTATAATTTAACCGCAGCAACTCCAGTTCTGGTACATGTTAAAACATTGTTGCAATGTGTTTACAGTCAAGCAAAGTATTAGCAAATCCTCCTTTCAAATTTGTGTTATAGTTTTGCAATTTATATTTCGCCTAGCCACAGTATCATTGTTCTTCTGGATATATTCAAAAATTAATGGATGAGTTTTTGGTTGCAAGATAGTGAGGTTCTCAAAATTCTAATGAAGAAAATATAGCAAGTTAACAACACCAGCTTGATTACGAATCCAATTAGCAGAAAGTAAGAAAACACAGATTAATTGTGTGCACGCATAAACCAATGACAGCACCAATAACGAATAGTAGTTTAGTTCTAGTTGAAGGTGTTGCCAGATTTTAAGCAGTTGAGATATGGTTTTGTTGACATAAACAATTCACAGTTTGATTCATATGATTCCATACAAATTTCAAGCAAAACAATTCCATTCATGATGTTGAATCTTAAATTGAGTGAATCGTATAATTCAATTGTGATTCACTATAATTCATTGCGGTTAGGTTTTGTTTGCATAATACATGAAACAGCTGTTATTCGCAAAACAAAAAAAGGATAATCAATTAATTATACTGATAAATGTGGTCTTATATTTACAAATATGTACACAATTTAGTTATGTTGATATTAATTTATTTTAAACGTGTATTTTATATATATATATATATATGTATACACATATTATAAATTATATATTAAGCTAAATAAAATGAATCTTCTGATTCATGATTTGACAAAAATCACATGGGTGAGAAAAGTGAGTTATGCCCTCACCGGTTGGTTGAACACGCTTCCTCTTAAGAAGTTGAGCACTTTCATGCCCTCACCGGTTGGTTGAACACGCTTCCTCTTAAGAAGTTGAGCACTTTCATCAACAGCTTGAGCTGCACTATCCTTCAGAGCTGAAAATAAATGCCCTGCAAAAGAAGTGCAAAGAGTGGGTACAGAGAGAAAATTATATATCTGTAAATATCAAATACTGATATTTTACCAAGTATGCCAAGACTTTGGTGTTGTTTGGTATAGCTGTTAAAACAGATTATAGATTATACCTTAACAGATTATAGATTATACCTTAACAGATTATAAATTATGACTTTAATCAGAAATTTTTAATCTGTTTGGTGTAGCTGTTGGATTATAGATTTAAGTTGCTGACTAATGTTTGTTAAGTAAGCTATGAAGTAACTTTTTCAATTAACTTTTATTTTTTATTATTCACTATTTGTCTACATTTCTCATAAAAAATAATAATAATATTTTATAGTCCATTTGGGTCTTTTTCTATTTTTTTTTTAAAATAAAATAAAAAATTCTAAGAGTATAACCGTGAATTAACATGTCTATAGCAGAAGCTGATAATCAGAAGGAAGGGGTGAGCAGCTTCTCAGAATTAGCTTTTTTAACTTAAAATAAGTTGTTAGAATCAGAAGCTGTTTGAAATAAGTTTAACCAAACAGTTCAAAATAATTTTTTAAAAGCCATAAATTGGCTCAAAAAAACCCCACCAAACACCCCCTTCATCTTAATCTAATAGTAGACAATCATTAATGGGTGACAAGGCAGTATTGAAATCCTTCTCTCACTAACACACAAAAACACATGCACGCACAAACAAAAGAAATTTAAAATTTAAAACTTGAAATTTTAATGGGTTTTTTTGAAAATTCACCAAATGAATCTAAGTCATGAAGTACAATGGGCAGATTGATAAGGGAGGGGGGCCAGCACGGGCTGAGGCCATAGGATGCTAGAAAATCGTTTTCCATGTCCTTGGTCACAGTGCATTTTTTTCTTTTCTACAACTATGAAAAAATAAAAGAAATAAAGAAAATGTTGTGGAATAGATTCAAGTCAAAGAAATCAGCCTCTCTACAAAAGAAGTGGGGGTAATTCTTCGTACAAACAACCTCTCCCATACCCAGTGTAAGTGAGGCCCTCCGCAATAGGTACAACTCCTTTTTCCTCTCTTTTTAATTTTTATTTTTTAAATGAGAGCACAAGACTTAAGAAATAGTTTTGTCCTTTGTGAGAGTTATCACATGAAAATTAATGAAAGCCCACTCAAGAAGCCACATAATTTTAAGGCTACTAAGGCTAGGTTTGGCAAGCCCCAAAAAATTCAAAAAGTCAAAAAGTTACACAAAAAGCAAAAAAGTAATTACTATTCACAAATAAAAAATATGAAAAAATATTTTATACATTTTTGTAATACAAAAATTTTCATTACATTGTCAGCCGTACTGTCCCAGTAGGAAGGTAGGTCATACATTTTTGGGAAAAAAAATTACATATGTAAAGCCACAAAGTTTGATGGTAATGTTGGGCCCTTGGGGGCCTATTAAGGGTTCCGTTTTGATAATCCAAACCGTTGAATATGTAAAATTCGTCGAGTACTATATGTCTGTAAAAAATCACGTTGATCGGATATCGTTAACTATATGATCAAATCATTTTTGTATAAACAAAACGGATGGTGTGACAGTTAACTGTTGAAAAAAAACTAATTCAATCATATAGCTATCGATATCCGATCAATGTGATTTTTTACAGGCATATCATCATAGACGAGTTGTACATATTTAACGGTTCAAATTATTAAAATGGGACCCATGGTGGCCCCCATGGACCGACCATCACCATCTAAACATTTTGCCCCGAAGGAGGCAATAATTTGTTGTGTAAGACACGCTGCCCCAGCAGGGTAGCCATACAACCTACTCACCTTTCTTCCCCTATACACTTTATTTATACAATTTTTTATTACATATTTTTTCGTAAAAAGACAAAAAGTTAACCCAAACGTCTATATTTTTTTTCTCAACTTTTTAGTCCAAAAAGTGCACTTATTTAGGACATCCCAAACAACCCCTAAGGCCTTGTTTGTCAACTATACAGTTTAGCCAAAAAGTCACTATAAGTTGTCACATCACTCTCTCTACTTTTCTGCACAGTTTTTCGTAAAAAGTCAAAAAGTTACTAAAATAACATATTCCCCAACAAGGCCTAAGGTTTTTTTCTAGATTTTTTTTGTCATTTAAATTATTTTTGATGAATGTGTTTTTATTACTAATCCTGCTAGGATTCCAAGCTACAATAGTTTAAGTAACTAAAATGCAATTCCACAATTTTCTTCTTTACGCTAAAATTGGTTCAGTGGTTAAAACTTGGGCTACCAATCTTAAGGTTGTGGGTTTGAACCTAAGGGCAACCATTTTGTGCAAATTATGCTAAACTTTAGGTTTGTACCCAATCTACCCCTCCCAAACTCCAATCCAATGGGTGTACTTTTTTATGTTAAAAGATAACTACAACTCAAGCCTCTCCCTCTTTTAAAGACATGAAATACATTATTTGAGGTATATCCATATTTGAAATGTTTTTTTCAGTATAATAAGAACATATATATTTCTACCCAAAGCCAGTATGATTTGACACTTCAGACAACAGATTTCAGCAAAACATATTCTTCATTACTCAAATGTTCTATATCATTGCTCATAATTTGTTCATAGGCACAATAACTAACAAAAATTACTGGAGTATATCCCTGTTTGCTTACTGGATATAAAGGCTGGATATGGGTGTGGGACCGGATATAATATGAGGTGGGTCCTAAGAAGCATGGACACGGACACGTGGCATGACACGGATACGACATGGATACACTGACACGTTAATTTTCAAAAAATGAAGGACATGACACGTGGGGGACACGCATGAAATATGTAATTTTATATATTTATTATATGTTATTGTAAAAATTTATGTATTATTGATTGATGTTTATTGATGATGATTTTTATTGATATGAATATATCATTCAAAGATAATAAAAAATGCAATATAACACTAATTCCTATAAATTTATATGATTTTTGTTTTATTATTGTATCTTAAGTTATTTTGTTTAAACTTATAATTAGTTTCACATGTGTTCAATCGATAGACACGTGCGTTTATGTGATTGACATTGTGTCCTCCAAGTGTTCAAAGAGTGTCCGGGTCTTTAAAAAAATTTAAATATTAGGACACGTTTTGAAGAGTGTCGAACACATGTCCTAAGAGTATCTAAAGAGTGTCGGTATCCGACACGGATACGTCACCTTCTTAGAAGTGTCCGTGCTTCTTAGGGTGGGTCCCATATTTTTTTTGTCTCCTTATATCCTGTGTTTGGTTGCTCCGAATATAGGGAGTCCAGATAGTATATGATGCAAAAGGGGGATATGCAATACCACCCCCCATAGTATTGTATATCCCTCACTGTCGAATATAGCTCATCTTTCATCCAAAGGTCAAAAATAATCACTATCCTCTTATCCCATCATATATCCTATCTTAATCAAACATAGTATAAGTGACCTCACAATATATATATAATCCGTCTTATATCCTATAACATATTGGGCTTGTTTGGTTTGTATTTTGAGAAACATGTTTTGAGATAAAAAGTATGAAAATTTGTTTGGTTTGGTTTTTTTTCAAAAGATGTTTTGAAAAATTATTTTGAGAGAGAGTTTTGGAAAAAGTGATTGATTTGATGTGTATGAGAGAGAGATTTGTTTGGAAAACTTGTAAACCAAACAAGTTTTGAAAAAAAAAATTGAAAAAATTTGTTTGGTTTGATTACTTTTGAAAACTTATTTGTAGAGAATTTTTCCCAAAATTTTTTGAGAAACACAAACCAAACAAGGCCATTATATCCCATCTTTATCCTTAGGAATTACATATCCTCCTGAAATCCTTATATCCAATCTGGACAATCAATCAGGGCCAAATGTTCTTCAACAGCATAAATGGATTCAGCATGGATAGACAAGAAAATATAATTAACGTTGCTAGCTAAATAATTCCTGTAAAATTAGATTCTAAGGGCTTGTTTGGTTTGTTTTTGGGAAAAAATTTTGGGAAAAATTCTCTGCAGACAAATTTTCAAGAATAATCAAACCAAACAAATTTTTCCAAAAAAAATCTCAAAATTTTGTTTGGTTTGCTTCTTTCCAAAATCACTCTCTCTCTCATACACATCAAATCAATCACTTTTTTTAAAACTCTCTCCCCAAAACAATTTTCCAAAACCATTTCTGAAAAAAGGGAAACCAAACAAGTTTTCGTACTTTTTATCTCAAAAACTACTCTACAAACACAAACCAAGCAAGCCCTAAATTTTTTATGTATAGAAGAAATAAGTAAAACAAATATTCATATGGCCCAGAGATATGATTAAAAACCAAACCCTGCAGCTGCTCACAGAGCAATTGTGCACATCAATCTCAAGGGTAGATGAGTATATCAAATAAACAAAAATATAAATAAAAAACAATGTTGCACTATGATCAAAGAACTCATTGTCACACTTGGATAAAGAAACAAGAAATGAGAACTAAGGAGTGAGACCCAACTAAGATCAAATGCTAAATCAATTAAACTATGTAATCCCAAACTCCAACTACTTGGTTCTCTTTAAAGTATCTAAGAAAAGGTATGCAAGCCACCTACCTTTGGCAACACTGATTCACGGGCAACAAGAGTCATTTAGTTTTGGGTTGGGTCACTATACAAGGTTTGGCAAGCCTATTGTAGCTCAACGGATGGGAAATAACATAAAAATACAAATTGTGAACTTTAAGAGCCGGATCATCAATTATAACAAGTGAACATCCCTGAAGCAAGAAATTGCCACTGCTAAGACTCGCTGTAGAAAAAATTGCTTACTCACTTGGAAAAAATGGAAAATTCTCCACACACCAGTTGCTTGGCTGCATCAGGTTAGACACTTAAACAATGATGACAAAACAACCAACTTGGTATAAGAGTGCATGTCTTTCAAGTCAGTGGTGGCCCTAGCACTTTTTTTTCACCCTATTGAAGGTGATAGGCATAAAGACTATCACATTGTCCACATCATCTGGTTACTGGTTCTATGCTTATCATCATAAATTAAACTAATAGTGTAAAGGTTTACAAATTAAGTTCCTGTCACATTGAATATCATACATCTACTTTCCCTTGCAACATCATACATCAGTTCATGAGGACAATTGAAGTGTCAAGAAATTTATTCCATAACCCGTTGAGGAGTTTCAGAGTCCAACCGTCCATGTTAGATTTTTGACTGAGTCCCAGCTTTGCCCCTACTCTTTTTATTAACTAGCTCACTTCCAGTTCTAGAAAAGAAACTAAATGAAGCCCAAAAGAAACCATTAACAAACTAAATTTCCTCTTCTCCTATATCGTTTTAATTATTTATCTCAATGATGAGGACACCAATGACTGCTTTTGGATCATAAAGCCTTCTTATCCTTACTCTTGAATAAATACTAAAATAAGCCTCCAAATAAAATTCCAAAGATTGTATTACCAGTCAAATGTGATATCATTCTCATGTGATATACAATAGAGTTACCAAAATTCAGGCAGGAACTTGCTCATCATTTCCTGGCAGTGAGAGAGAATGCAACCCCATAACTTACTGTGCTAGGTATGTTTCAGAAAATACAAATTTCAAGCTCCAACATCTCACAAACATTTAAACATAAATGAGGTTGAGAAACCCCTAATTTGATAAAGAATTCTAACATTTTAGCAAGAAACAAACAACAGAGATCAATATAGAATACTGCTAAATGAAGTGTAGCATGCCATAAACAAACATCCCCAGGACCCCATCCCACCACCAAAAATTAGACAAGGCAAGAAATCCTGAACTACAAAACCAAATATTTCATATCTTGTTATATTCATATGTGGAAGGGATGTGGAATGATTGGCATTGCTCACCTGAATGTTCTTTCCTGATGGAGCTTCCTTTGAACCCAACAGAAGGAGAAACCACAGAAGACTCTGTTGGCACAGCTGTTTCCATAAACCGTTTATGTAGTTGGTCAGAAGTTGGTTGAGTGGTGGTCCAGGTAAACTTTTCAGATTCCGATACTAACCCAGATTTCCAAGTTTGCCCAGAATCAAGCCACCCAGCTGAGCAGCTGCTAAATGGTCCTGAAGATGCGGCCAGCTCACCTATGAAACCTTTATAAGGATCTGAAGTAGCATGTCTTGAATCTCTGTTACCTACAAAATCTACGTTCCTGTTACTCAATTGAGGAACACCAAGTTGCATATCAGCTTGTGGTCTTTGCAAAATATGGAATGGGCTTGAATTTAGATCAGTAGTAGTATCACACACAACTCCAACATTATTGTTAGATGGGGTCCAGCCTCCCGCATTATACCCCAGATTTGGGAATCCACCAATATTATTTTGAAAGCTTGAAAACCCACCAACAAAGTTGTGACCTGGATTCAAGGAGATTCCAGTGGCTTGTCGAACATGGGAAGTATTTAACTGGGGAGAAAAAGCTCCATCTAAATTACCAGTAATCTCTCTGCTGTTGAGATCAAATTTAGATTTGGCATCTGTCTTACCTCCAATACCAAGAGAAAGAAAACTCCCATCAATTCTTTTTGGACAACCAAATCGAGCTGCATTGACCTGGTCATGGTGATCAATATTCATTTCTCCACTATTCTGGGGATGGGACAATGTAGTTTTGCTACCTCCTAAGCCAACAAAATTCTTCATCTGTGGCCTATGCATATGACTACCATCTGCTTCTCTACTGTGCCCAGTCATTTCATAACCTCCACCAGCATTACCTCCAATCAGCGTGAAATTAATCTCAGGGTTGTTGAGGCTATTAAAATAGGGTGAACCATTCAGCATGGTATCAGCAGCCCCAATTTTATCGTGAAAGTTTGATACCCCCTTCACATGACCTTCGGGAAAAGGTAAATCTTGCCTATATAGGCTGGGTCTGTAACTACTGACATTCATGGAATTCAGGTCAATCAGGGGATTTTGCAAGTTATGGAGCTGATTGAGATCAACCATCAAATTTCCACAGGTCTCAGGAATGCTATGTGCGTAAGGTTGATGTGTCCCATGAATGTGTTTCCAAGGAAAAGGAGCAACTGGAAATGGTGCGTATGGGAAGGACATAGGATCATCTCTAGCAATGCTACCATTATGAAAAATCCCAGTGCAGTCAGCAGCAGCATTCTGCCTATTGGTGAAAGCAAATTCATCGTTCTCTTGCACAAGAAAATTTGAGGCAGGTGTGTTCTCCCCATTGTTTAACTTGTCACTTTCCATTACTTGGTCAATTCTGAACAAAAAGATAGAAGTAAAACAATTCATTCAAAGTATTCCGTTCCACTTGCAAACACTAATTTATGGAGCATCAAAAAATAAAGATTAGCAAATTCTCCCCTTTGTAATTGGTCTGTAAATGTTCTAATTTTATTCACACACACACACACACATATATATATATAAAGAGAGAGATTATTGAATATCAATTCATGTGTGTCTGTGTGTGTTTATATTCAGTCCTCTTTTGAACTTTTCAGTGGCTGAATTATAAACCCTAAACTTAACTCAAAACAAAATTTCTAAAGAATTGAAGAATTGCATGTTCAGATGACCTTCTAATTAGTCGAATTGCTAGAAATGCAGAAGAGTGAAGCCATCCATGTCCTAAAAAATTAACAAAGAAAACTTTTAAACCCAATTAACAGATAAAAGAAGAAATACCCAGAAAAGAGAAGATCAACGATCAAGCAGCATAGATATCAACAACCCCAAACAAGAAAATTCAGGAAGAAACGTAAAACCCATGAGACATCATCTAGTTTTAAAGCGGTACAAGAAAGATAAGAACATGAACTCATTTTTCACGCAAAAAAAAAAAAAAAATGTTTCTTTTGTCTTTTACTCAGCATGAAGACAAGCAAAGATCAACAAACAAACCAACCCACCGACCCACCCACACACTTCACAATATTTTAAAAAAAAATAAAAAATTCGAAAAACAAAGAATCAAACACCTAAAATGCACAGTACAAAGAAATATAATCGAATAGAATTAAAGAAGCAAAACCGTTTTTTGTTTTCACACATCAATCAATGCAATCAAGAGGCGAAACATTTGGGGGTTTTAGATACAATTCTCACTATATCTATCTATCTATATATATGGGTTTAGAAGAGGTCTTACCAGTGATGCTTTTGATCGGAGAAGATTCAAAAGCAGAGAGAGAGAGAGAAGACAAGAGAGAGAAAGAGGTGTCTTTTGGCGCTTAGGGCACTATCGAGAGTTTTAAAGGGTTCGGTATGGGACCCATCATAGTGCCACGTGCGCGTCACAGGGCGCCTTGGGAGCATGAGTTGCTCTGCTGACGTGTGGAATGATTATTGGGTGTTCTTAGCATATGATCACGTGTTTCAAAGTATTGTAATTGTTGGAAAAAATAATATTAATTAATGTGTTTAGTTTCAGTTTGGATTTAATTTTTTTTACATTAAATTTTTTAATTTTTATATTTTTTAATTTTTAGTGAATATTTTTAAAATTTTAAATATTTTTTTTACTTTTTTAGATTTACCTTATTTAGATGTATTTAAAAAGTAAATTATTTGTAAAAAAATATTTTAAAAAATTAATAAATATGCAAAAATAAGAAAATACATTGAATTTTCGTTTTTTTTTTTGTATTTTCGTATTTTTGGTATTAGTGAATCTTTTAAAAAAATCACAAAAATTATACTTTTTAAGTGTATTTATGTTAGATGTGTTTAAAAATTAAAAAAATTACTTAAAATATTAAAAAAATTCAATAAAAACAAAAAAAAATATGGAAAACAAAAAGTAGAATTTTCTAAAAAGTATTTTCAAAAAATTAGAAACAAATAATTTTTTATGGGGGGATTGAAGAATATAAAGAGTTATGAGGTTATGATATATGATAATTAATTTTAAAATATGAACATGTGACGCTCTAAGCACTCTAGGAGTATTGAATAATTTTTTTAATAGGAGATTTGTTTTCCAGGTGATCCGTATATATATACTGAGACCTAGTGTAGCTCGACTTTTTGTGTTCCTTTCGAATACGACAGCCTTACAGTTCGAACTCCCGTGGTTCTAAATCTGATTCCATAAGTATAATGTGAAATAGATAAACACAAAAGAATCCAAATCTGGCAAATCTTTTGCAAAATCGATTTTGAATCAAAATGTCAAAAATTGACTGTATTACCAAATACAGAGTCACCACCTAAATATTTTTGAAAAATTTAGCAAACCCATGACTCGTGCCAAAGGTCACGTGTTTATCATCACCAAGATTGTCTCAGCTCGGGAACTTAGGTACGAGAGGAAAATGTCATAAATTGAGCACTCCTACTCTCCCGATCAAAGATCGGCCTCTACTAATCATGATGTGAATCTTATTTACATTTTTTAAAAAAATCACAAAAATTATACTTTTTAAGTGTATTTATGTTAGATGTGTTTAAAAATTAAAAAAATTACTTAAAATATTAAAAAAATTCAATAAAAACAAAAAAAAATATGGAAAACAAAAAGTAGAATTTTCTAAAAAGTATTTTCAAAAAATTAGAAACAAATAATTTTTTATGGGGGGATTGAAGAATATAAAGAGTTATGAGGTTATGATATATGATAATTAATTTTAGAATATGAACATGTGACGCTTTAAGCGCTCTAGGAGTATTGAATAATTTTTCTAATAGGAGATTTGTTTTCCAGGTGATCCGTATAATATACTGAGACCTAGTGTAGCTCGACTTTTTGTGCTCCTTTCGAATAGGACAGTCTTACAGTTCGAACTCCCGTGGTTCTAAATCTGATTCCATCAGTATAATGTGAAATAGATAAACACAAAAGAATCCAAATCTGGCAAATCTTTTGCAAAATCGATTTTGAATCAAAATGTCAAAAATTGACTATATTACCAAATACAGAATCGCCACCTAAATATTTTTGAAAAATTTAGCAAACCCATGACTCGTGCCAAAGGTCGCGTGTTTATCATCACCAAGATTGTCTCAGCTCGGGAACTTAGGTACGAGAGGAAAATGTCATAAATTAAGCACTCCTACTCACCCGATCAAAGATCGACCTCTACTAATCATGATGTGAATCTTATTTACATTATATACTCTTGTTCCGATTATTAGGCTAACTTACTATGTGATGCACACACAAGTATAGACTAATTTGCAAAAAAATTGAAACACTTTGATTTCATATTTATTTTGAAAAGTGTTTGAATATGTACCACTTGAAAAAGTGATCGCATATAAACATTACTCAAATTATTCCAATTCAAGCAATTAGCCTTCAGCCACAAGCATTTAAGCAATTTATCAATTAAGCAACTAGCTTCATGGTAAGCATGTTAGTCATGGAAACAACCACACTCATGCGATATGCTAAAACACAAAAATACTCACCTAGTACTTCAAGGCGAGCCAAAACAAGCAAAAGAGTTAGAAAACATGCATGCTCCTAATTAATGCAACATGACTAATGCAACACATGCAATGATGCAACTAATAGGCTCGGCTACTAATTATGACATGTGCATCAATTTGATAGTATGCGTTCTAAACATGTAGTCAACAAAGTATGTAAACGACAATACTTTGTTAGAATGGTGAACCGAGCCTCGATTCATGCAAGTCAAGTAGATGCAAATCATGGAGTATGGTAAAAGAAACATAATCTTCAAAACTCCCCATTATAAACAAATAAATAAAAGAGAGAAAGATATAGGGTTGGAAGACATAGATATTATTACAAGTTTGCCCTCGCGCAAGAGGTTCTAAATGAATAGCCTAGCTAATTACTAAGAATTAATTAATTATTACAAACCTAAATTAATAAATTAGCTACACTAGCTAAGCTACTTGACTAATTATTACAATAACAAAATTTAACTAACTATTCTATCTAATTAAATAAGTACAACACATAGCTATTCTAACTAATTAATTACAAACTTACTACTCCAAACACAACACTGATATTATTACAACATCACTTCACGGATCCCAAGGATTGAGGGAGGGCTCATGCATGGATGCAAATTTCCATCCAATAATGCTCTCTGTTTTGCTACTGGAATGCCTCTGTTGTACAGTTGGAAAAAATGAACTGTTTTTCACCTCAGCTTCTACTCTACTCTATTGGAAAAAGGGCATTGCCTGCCTGGAAAAAGTGGCTGACTACCCAAAAGTAGTGGCTGGCAGGCCACTAATAGTGGGTTACCATCCAGAAAAAGTGGTTTGTCGGCCATTGGTGTTGATTCTTTCCTGCAGCAACAGAGCACAAACTAGAGCATTCTCAGGGGATGTTTGTCCACACTGTCTCTCCTTATCAGAAAACAGGTCAAAGGAAGGGTAGGCTTTGATTCGCAAATCATTAATTGTTTGTAATAAACCCTCAAAGGGATTAAACCATTAAGCACAACAACCTCAATCTCAAGCTTAAACAAGGAACTAATTTGAAACAACTTTCAAAATAAAGAAAAAGCCAAGAAATGAGGGAGGTTGCAGAAATGAGTAGAGGTGAAAACAAGTATGGAAAATAAGAAATAAACACTATCAACTCACAAGTGCAACGTGAAATTGATAAACACTAAACAGTCCAAATATGACAAATCTTTTAGAAAATCAATTTTGAATCAAATTGTCAAAAATGGACTGCTTTACCAGATACAAAGTCGTCACCTAAATATTTTGGAAAATTTAGGAAACCTATGACTCATGCCAAATGCCACGTGTCCGTCATCACCAAGATTGTCTCAGCCCGAGAACTTAGGTACGAGAGGGGAAGGTCATGAATACATTTGAGCACCCCCGCTCCCTTGATCAAAGATCGGTCTTTACTAATCACGATATGAATCTTATGTTCATTATATGCTCTTGTTCTGGTTTATTAGGCTAGCATTTACTATGTGATGCGTGCACACAAGGTAGAGATTAGTTTGCCCGAATTGGAACAATTCAATTTCATGTTTGTTTTTCGAAAAGGATTTGAGTTTGCCACTTAACAAAGTGGGCTTAAAGCTTATGAATTTTCCATTTGACAAAATGGTCTTAAATGTACATGTATCGAATCATTCAATTCAAGCAACAAGCTTTCATCCACAGACACTCAAACAATTTAACAAGTAAGCACTTAGCCTTATGGCAGTCACTCACACTCATGCAAGTATGCTAAAGCACTAAAAACTCACCTAGTACTCCAAGCTAAGATAAAACAAAAGAGTTAAAAAAATATGCATATACCTAACTATACAAGATGGCTAATGCAACGCATGCAAAAATGCAACTAAAATAAGCTCGGCTACTTAACATGTTATTTGCAACAATTTCATAGCATGCGTTTAAACACGTATTCAATGAGGTAATAAACGACAATGCACGTTTGAATGATAAACTGAGCCTAGGTGTATGTAAGACAAATGAATGGATGCAAACATGCGATATGCTAATTGAAACGTGATGTCCCTAATCTAACCATCATAGGCTGGTAAATAAAAGGAAGAAAGACTTGCAGTTAAAAGACAAACACATTATTATAACATTGCGCTCTTACGAAGGAGAGTCAGAATAAATTAAGATAACTGGTTAACCAAGCTAAGCTAATTAAGCTAATTATTACAGCACTTGAATTAATTAACTAGTTAACTAACTAATTAAATGATTAAATAATTACAACGCAGGTATGATTAAGATAAGTAATTAAACTAAACAACTAACTACTATGCCTCAGGAACGAGGGATGTGCATGCGCATGCTTGGATTCCACCCGAAAGACCACCGTTTTGCTTCTGAATGCCTCTATTTGCACAGTTGAACACTTCCAGAACAAATCTGCTCCACCTTACCAACACATTTTTGAGCTTTGCATCAGTGGCTGGCCGGCCACTGGTAAAGGTTGCCGGCCACTAGCTGGCCATGGTTGAAGGTTGCCAGCCGTGGATGGTGGTCTGTCGGCTATGAAAAGTGGCCTGCTGGCCACTGATGCATAGGTTCATCTTGCTGCAACAGAGGGCAAACAGAGCATATACAGGGTATTTCAAGGGTTTGTTTGCATAACCTACCCCTCATTTTCATGGGAAAATCAAAGGAGTAGCAAGCTTTGGTTCACACGCCGTCAATGGATGCAATTTCATTACATGATGGCTTGTGAAACCAAGTGTGCAAGGTCAACAAATGCAAAACAAGACATAAACCTCCTCTCTTTCATAAATGATCAAGGGAAA